CAACCCCTCCTCTTGGGGGCCGGAGCCTCCAGCAGGCGCGGGGCTCCAGCTGGGCTGTACCGTGCCCGGCTCTCCGGCAGAACACACAGCCTTGAGGGAACTACAGGAAGAAATTTTACCGACGTGACAAATTCTCAGAGGTCAACATGTCTTCCTAAAAAAAAAAAACCAACAAGCGCTTAGTTTCATACGACTGCAGAAGGGCAGGGAGGAAAAAAAAAGAATAAATCCTGTGTTGCATCAGCCCAAGAAAAAAATTGCGATGGGCTCCAGGCCTTCCCCAAGTAAAAAAAAAAGGCAATTGTGGGTTAAAATCAGTTATCCTAAGTGGCAAAGTCAACTCCACAAAACAAAACCCACCAGCCAGGTGCCCGTTTCAGAGGGGTCGGACCCTCCAGGACAGCGGGTGACACTCCTGGCAGCCCAGGGAGCTGCAGGGCACGGAGCTCGGGGGCGTGTGCCCTCTCTGCATTATTTTTTTTAACTAAGCAATAAAACCCCGGCCCTGCCAATGAACGAGGCGACACCTCGGTCGATGCCTTTCCACATGCCAGGTCGGGCTCAGCCATGCCAGCGTTCGTGGCGCAGTAAAAGCTGCCCGAGCTCCGTGCGGAAAACCTCTCCCCAAGACAGCCCTGTGGCAGGTGCTCAAACCAAGCCCGTGTCTAAAAAATCAAGTCGGAGCCGTCCGCGAAGCACTTCTGGGTGAAGATTCACAGGGATCTCTCCACCTCCAAGGAAGGGCACACACCCGTGCCCTCCTCCCAGGAGCAGGTTTTACGTCTTGCCTTGGAGGAATTTCAGACCCACCGGGGTTCCCCACTGCCGGCTGGTTTTGTAGGAGCAATTCTGACGAGACACACGTTCATTTTGCTGCTTCTGGACCGCAGGGAAACCACGCTGCCTCCCTCCAGCACAGAACCGGCGGCGAGCAGCCCTTGTCAGCTGTCTGTCCGTCTTGCTTTGTGCTGAGTCCACGCAGCTGATGGAGCAGGCAGAGACGGCACCGACAAATCGAAACCATCCCGATAATGACACGGAGCGGCACAGAAAAAACGGAAGTTAAAGATTTCAGGTTGGAAAGGTACAGGCTGGAGGAGAGGAACCACGTATCAGGACTTCTAGGAGTCGGCAGTAACGAATGGGAAGCAGCCGCTGGGGTCTGGAGAGAGGTTGTTTCTGCCGCCCAGAGCACTTCAGCAAACCCGAATCATCTCGATGTTAAATGAGGAGTAACAGGTCATGCTGGAAGAGAAAGAGTCGACGCCAGAAGAGAGAGAAGCGCAACACGCAGGAACACTGACAAACCTTCTCAGGCAGCCCAGCCCTTCGCCACCAAACGGCAGCGGCAGAGGTTCACTGGGAGCCAGAACACGCTGTCGGCACCAGGGTGTGAGCCCGGGATGCCCTCGGCCGTGACACCCCTGGCCTCGCCTTCAGCCGTGACACCCCCAGCCTCTCCTTTCCAGCGCCCACAGCGATTAACCCCGCGACACGAGGCAATAAGCTGCAGCTTTCCAGGCACTTTCCATATGGTTCCCCTCCTCCGCTATTTACTGGCATCTACCCAGGGGCTTTCCTGTCCCCTGAAACGCAAGTCACCTCCCGTGGCAGAGGCTGCTCTGTGTTTACTCTTCCCCCTCCCTACACAGCGTTCGACGGAAGGACTCACTGGTTCAAAGCCCCAAGGTTTTGAGGCCAGAAGACACACAACCTCCGCCTCCCTCCCCTGCCAGAAGCAAGCCGGGAAGGCGTCAGCTTGTTTCACGTAGGAGGCTGGCCGTGGCACCACGGCAGACCCCGAGGGCTCACTTATAGCATGTTTCTTGAACAAGACAATTAAGTATCTGTCCGCCAAACGAGGCTGCGACCAGGGGATGCTCGCCAGATGACCCACAGCTGAGGCTCCACTGCCACAATCCTCAACGTGCCCTGCGGAGGGAGAAGGATTTGGTCTCCGGCACAGCTGGGTCAGCATTTCACTGTCTGAGCATGAAGGGAGCGGAGACTGTAAAACCACGTCCCATGGAACCTCCTCTGCACGGAGCTGGTTCTTCGCAGAGA